GACATTTGTAGACTCTTTGGACTGCCCATCTAGCATTTGCTAAAAAATCTATGACTAGAAGAGGAAAAGGGAAACCAGCAAAAGTGCTGTGAAGGAAGAAAATGAAGCAGAACAGTAGTAGAATTGAAAAAAAAACGAAGTCTTCAGGACATTATAAAAAGTCTTCAAATTTATTTTAATTTAATTTAATTCAATTATTTTTTTGAGACAGGGTCTTGCTTTGTCACCCAGGCTGCAGTGCAATGGCACAATCATGCCTCACTGCAACCTCTGCCTCCAGGGCTCAAATGATTCTCCAGTCTCAGCGTCCCCAGTGGCTGGGACCACAGGCATGTACCACCATACCTGGCTAAGTGTGTGTGTCTGTGTGTGTGTGTGTGTGTGTACCAACAAGATTTCGCCATTTTGTCCAGGCTGGTCTCGAACTCCTGAGCTTAAGGCAATCTGTCCACCTTGGCCTCCCAAAGTGCTAGGATTACAGGTGTGAGCCACCATTCACAGAAAAATTTATTTTTAGTGTTAGCCTTTTTATATAAGTCTTCTTAATAATGTTGGCTTTTCTTTCCAATCACTTTCAAGTACATATTTAGTTTTTAATATCATTGTCCTTGAGCTTTATTTGGCATAATTATTACAATTTTCCAGATCACCCAACACTTTGAAAAATCTATTTGTTATTCTTTCCTTTTGTATATATTAATATGCATTATTCTTTACTGTAGAATTCTATCCTGGCATTTCAGTCTACTTGTATTGTCCAGTCTACTTAGATACTTGTAAATGTTCTTTAATTTCAGAAAGGTTTTTAAAATAAAGTTATCACTATTAAACAAATAGTTTAAACTACTTTCTTATCATTAAAGGGAGATTTTTTTTCTGATCAATATTCTATTTACTATTATTGGAACTATATATAGTGAAGAGTTTTGCTGTAGGTTAGTGGATTGTGAATCATAGGCTCTGCCACTTATGCTCTTGAGACCTTAAGCAAGTTATTTAACTTTTCTGATTACCATCTATAAAACAAAGGTAATAGCATAAATTTTAAAATTGAAAATGAGCAAAAAGCTCTGTATATGGTGGTGTAAGTAGATCACATCCTATCTGCCTATGATAAGGCTGTCCACTCTCTCCAAGGACAGTTACTTTCATTGTCCAGAAAGTCACCAATCTGTAGTTCAACCTACTTTTCTCAACATTTCCAGAGCAGATTAATATCTTAGGATTTACCTATGTTTCAAGTTCATGTGGCTATCAATAATGCTTCATATTAATTAGTTAACAAAAAATAACTGACACAGGGTACTGGAATATTTTATGTTTAGATGTCTGCCCAGAAAATTTCCTCTTATGGACAGATGCATGAGTCAGTTCATTATAATATTACTTTGTAAATGTACAATGAAACTAACAGTCGTATATCTGAAGCCAGGGACCAGACAAGTCTTTCCCTATATGCCGATAAAAAGTGAAGCAAAACAATCACTGGGAAATTCTTTTGTGAATATGGAATCAAAGTAATGGGGAATTAGATTGGTTGAAGATTTAACATCATCATGTTGGGAGAGCATGATAATGTATCCATCTCTTAAACAGAGATGAGTTTAATAACAGTAGCTAAGACTTACGGAATATTTCCTATGTGCTGACCACTGTTCAAGCACTTTATATGAATTAGTTCATTTTATCTTTATAAAAATCCTTGTAAGAAGTTCTATTATAATCTCTATTTTATAATGAAGAAACTAACACTGATGAGCTAATTAACTTGCTCAGGATCACAAAGCAAAGAGGTGGCAGAGGGAGAATATATTTGCCCCTGGGGTCTATATTCTCAGTCTCTGTTGGCTACAGTGATCTTGTATTTTGGAAAATTCTGGAGTTGGGGAGCATTGCCAGTCTGTGCACTATTCTCATTCTGAGTATTTCCAAAGACATTGACTTATTTTTTAAATAGTCATCTTTCCTTTAAATGTGGAGTTTTTTTCATTTTTAGCCAATATTTATTGAGTGCCTACTGTGTGCCAAGATCTCTGCTAGGTACTGTGACTGCAATGGACAAGAAGAAACATAAAAAATACCTGCTTTTGTGGAACTTAGTGTGTTCACTCTAAACACTATATGAATGGATAAAATTAATACAGAAGATAATTGGTGGTCGTAAAAAATAAGGGATTAAGGTAGAGAATACAGGTGGAAACCTATTTTTTATAACATAGTGAAAGAAGATGACTAAAAAAGTGACATTCAAGCTCATATCTGAGGGCAAAGAAAGCAACAATCAAAAAGCACTTCTGGCAAGAAAGAATAGTAAGTACAAACAGTAAGTGCAAAAGAAAAGAGCGAAGGAAAGAGTGGAGTGCATTCTAGGTGTGCTAACCTATTCAGATGTTGCAGGACTGAGACCCACTCCCTTTTCTTGGCTTATCTGTACTCCAATTTCAATATTTTACGTTCGGAGGGAAGTCATAAAAAATCATTTGCCAAAATGAGTAAAGTAAGTATGTTGATTGGAAAAAAAAAAAAAACAAATGTAAAACATAAGGCTATAGAAGATAAGAAGCAAAATGGATGGAAAAAGACATATCAAGCAAATAGCAGCTAAAGGAAAGTGAAGATAGATGTATGTTTAGTGGTGATTTGTGGGATTTCAGTATATCGATGTCAGACCAAACTAGGCTAAGAAAAAAATAAGCATTGTTGGTGGTAAGGACAGTAAGTATGCACCGCCAAAACTTTTTTTTTTTATTGCATTTTAGGTTTTGGGGTACATGTGCAGAACGTGCAAGACAGTTGCATAGGTACACACATGGCAGTGTGTTTTGCTTGCTTTCTCCCCTTCACCCACATTTGGCATTTCTCCCCAGGCTATCTCTCCCCACCTCCCCCTCCCACGGGCCCTCCCCTTTTCCCCCCAATAGACCCCAGTGTTTAGTACTCCCCTCTCTGTGTCCATGTGTTCTCATTTTTCATCACCCGCCTATGAGTGAGAATATGCGGTGTTTCATTTTCTGTTCTTGTGTCAGTTTGCTGAGAATGATGTTCTCCAGATTCTTCCATGTCCCTACAAATGACACAAACTCATCATTTCTGATTGCTGCATAATATTCCATGGTGTATATGTGCCACATTTTCCCAATCCAGTCTATCATCATTGGGCATTTGGGTTGATTCCAGGTCTTTGCTATTGTAAACAGTGCTGCAGTGAACATTCATGTGCATGTGTCCTTATAGTAGAACGATTTATAGTCCTTTGGATATATACCCAGTAATGGGATTGCTGGGTCAAATGGAATTTCTATTTCTAAGGCCTTGAGGAATCGCCATACTGTCTTCCACAATGGTTGAACTAATTTACACTCCCACCAACAGTGTAAAAGTGTTCCTTTTTCTCCACATCCTCTCCAGCATCTGTTGTTTCCAGATTTTTTAATGATCGCCATTCTAACTAGCGTGAGATGGTATCTCAATGTGGTTTTGATTTGCATCTGTCTAATGACCAGTGACGATGAGCATTTTTTCATATGATTGTTGGCCTCATATATGTCTTCTTTCGTAAAGTGTCTGTTCATATCCTTTGCCCAGTTTTGAATGGGCTTGTTTGTTTTTTTCCTGTAAATCTGTTTGAGTTCTTTGTAAATTCTGGATATCAGCCCTTTGTCAGATGGGTAAACTGCAAAAAATTTTTCCCATTGTGTTGGTTGTTGATTCACTCTAGCGACTGTTTCTTTTTCCGTGCAGATGCTGTGGAGTTTCATTAGGTCCCATTTGTCTATTTTGGCTTTTGTTGCCAACAAAACTTTTAATTAACCAGGATGGTACAATAATTCTTGAACCAGAGTTAAACTAAAATTCAGATTCAAACTATATAAAGTCAAAATCAATAAAACTGTTGGCGAAAACTGCTAAATCCAACATGATAAAGAGATATTAACATGTCTCTCTCGGTGATAGATTGAAAAGGCAAACACTCAAACAGATCTAAAAGAAACAACACCATACAGATCAGTGAACCCAAATATCATAACTTCTTGCAGGAGCAACAACTAGAGAATCCACTTCTACCCCCAAAATATAGGAAAGATTTACAGGAATTGATCATATTCTAGCAGTTCTAACGAAAATTGATATACTGTGAATTGAATTCTCTGACCGCTAAAATATTACATAATAAATCAATGACCTCAAAATGTTAGAAATGAAATAAAAAACCAACCTATGTATCAACAAAAATTATAATGAAAACTAGAAAATACACAGAAGTGAAAAAGAAGAAAATTATACCTAACACTTGTTGGAAGCAGAAAAAACAGTTCAGAAAGGGAAACATATTTGCTTAAGTATTTATGTTAATACAAATGAATGTGAAAATAAAACAAGTAAGAAGTTAGAAAAAGTAAAAATAAATGCAAAAACATTAAAGAAAAAGAAATAATAAAGAAAATATATTAATGAAATAGCAATCTAATATTAAATAAAGTTAATAAAGCCAAAACCATTCTTAGATAAAGATAATAAAACACAAAGCCTCTGTAATTAAGGGAATAAACATAAGTACAAATAATATTCCGAGTGAAATAGGAAACATAATTGCAGCTTCAATAGAGATTAACAGCATAGAAGAATATCATAAAAATATTTATGTCATTAAATTTGGTGAAATAGACACACTTACAGAAAATTAGGCATTACCACATTTGAATCCAAAGAGAACCAGAAAATTTATTCCGTTGCCTACTATCTAAACAGAATAAGTAGGTTAAAATCTCCCCATTTCAGGAGGAAGGTATTGTCAGGAAAAAAATCTCTCAGTGGGAAGAAGGAACTAGGAAAGGAAAGGAAAGGAAAGGAAAGGAAAGGAAAGGAAAGGAAAGGAAAGGAAAGGAAAGGAAAGGAAAGGAAAGGAAAAAGGAAAGGAAAAAGGAAAGGAAAAAAAGGAAAAGGAAAGGAAAAAAGGAAAGGAAAAAAGGAAAGGAAAAAGGAAAGGAAAAAGGAAAGGAAAAAGGAAAGGAAAAAGGAAAGGAAAAAGGAAAGGAAAAAGGAAAGGAAAAAGGAAGGAAAATGGAAAGGAAAAAGGAAAGGAAAAAGGAAAGGAAAAAGGAAAGGAAAAAGGAAAGGAAAAAGGAAAGGAAAGGAAAGGAAAAAGGAAAAAGGAAAGGAAAGGAAAGGAGAAGGAAATGAAGAAGTTACGGTCTTCAGTAAAGTCTAACACTGGCTTCAACAGCAAGAGGAGCTCAGAAGCATAACGACACAGCAAGCTTATGAGTCTTGAAGTAGAACGGCCAGGCTTTTGTCCCCTGGCCTGTATTTATTGGCTTTCCCTGGGTTGAGGGTTTAGTTTCCCAGCCATCTCCAGTGAGCTATCTACGGTCAGTCAAGGGCAAATCTTCAGGGACCACAGGTGAAAGTGATAAGCTCCAGCTTTCCAGCAGCCTGTGAAGAGCCAGTCAGGAAAGGGCATGTGAGCAGAGCACCAAAAATATGTTGAGAGACATTTTGCATCACCTTAAGTCTTCCCAAAGCTCATGGATGAAAATCTGGAGCCATATATCACCTGTGTGCTAGAGAAGATCCCCTGATTTTAAGAGTATTATCAGAATAGTTGAGATAAATGTATCTCCAGAGGGAATCAAAACAAATCTGATGTTTCTAATAATTGCAGATAGACATACATCAGAAAATCATCTTACTGGTGACTTCTTCAAATGCAGGCAGAAGGACTTACATGAACCAAAAGTACTTTCGTGTGACTCTAGCCGATTCCTCTTCTCCTGTAACCTGAACTTCACTGTCACATGAGTAACTGAATGGCAAAATGAGATTCCTTTATTTTAAGTGAGTCCTTGAAGTTCAACAACAAAAGAATTGGTGTCATCTCCTCTTTATTCCAAAGATACATGCCGGATTTAATAAAGGAGGTTCCCTAAATGTGAGAAGGGGACCCTTCATTCAACACCTGTAAGCAAATAATAAAATGTTGAAATCAAGCAGCACCAGGAAGAGAAACATTTTCCAAAACAAAATCTGAGAACGTTATAAAAGTTTTCTATTCTCCTCTCTTCTAAATTGCTATACTAGCCCTCCTTGTGAGAAATTTGGAGAGGCTTCAGTCTTCCAAATTAAAGACCACAAGGCTTGAAGGGGGTTACTCAGAGAACTGGTGTTGTGATCTCTAGAATTAGGGATATAGTAGTCTAATCTCTGACACCCATTTTGGAAATCAAAACAAAAAAGGCAATATGGCTCTTAGTTGAGATATGATGAGATTCATTGGAAGCAAACTGTCCTAGTGTCACATGGCAGAGAAAATGCATGTGGTTCTAGAGCCCTGAATGTGGAATACAAGAGAAAGCTGCTCTGGGTTGGATGTTTATCTCCTCCAAATCTCACGTTGAAATGTAATCCCCAACGTTGGAAGTGGGAGATAGTGGGAGGCATTTGGGTTATGGGGGTGGGCAGATACCCCATGAAGGGCTTGGTTTCCTCCCAGTGGTAATAAGGCATTTCTCGCTTGTTTTCTTCACATGAGAATCAGTTGTTTAAAAAAAAGCTTGGCTCCTCCCCCATCTCTCTTGCTCCTGGGGGTTTCACTCTCATCATCTCATCTAAACTTAATTACCCTGCAAAGGCTGACCCTCAAATCATCATATGAGGGGTTAGGGCCCCAACATATGCCTTTTGGTGGATACAATCTTTCAGTCCATAACAGAACCAATCCTGCAAACACCTTGATTTCAGACTTCTGGCCTTCAGAATTGTATGATGATTTTCTGTTGTTTAAGACACATAGTATATTATGGCAGCCCTAGCAAACCAATAGTTATTTGTACACAGATGTAGTTGCTTTTTTAATTATTAAGTAATTCATTATATTTTCTTTTTCAAACATTAAAACCTTTCACTCAGTAATTTTCATCATTTTGATCAACATTGAAAGGCCTATGTATTACTTAACCAATATGAGCTTCACATTTTCTCTAAAAGTAAATTAAGATTTTTTCACTTCCGTGCTTAAAATCCTCTAGTGGCTTCCAAATGCAGCCTAACATCAATATAAGATTTCAAGGCCTTAGCATAATCCATAAATACTTTATGATCTGGATATTGCCTGTATGTCTAAACTCAAATCCTTTCTCTTGCCTCTTTCTCTTTCCCCTTTAGCTGTACTGCCCAGACAATCCAAGTTCATTCTGTTCTCCAGACTTTGGCACATAACTTTCTCTTATCTTTTGGCACCAACCACCATAGCTAATGAACTATCAGCTCCTATCATTGGTAGCTACTTCACTATCCTGTTTTATCTTTTTCTTTGCATTTATTTGTGCCTGATATAATCTTATTTATTAACGTGCTTATTGTCTCTTCTCTTTCTCTCAGACTTTAATCTTGAGGAAAGGGACACAGACATTTTTATTTATTCCTGCATCCCATTTATCACTAAGCACTTGTATTCATGGCACAAAATCCATAGCTCTTGAATTATATATAAAATTTAATAACTGAATATTTATTCTGTAAAATTCCCTGTGTTAAATGCTTTACAAGGCATGGCCACTTCTACCACAATCCTGAGTTGAGAAAGGAAGGATAATATTGATACAGTACATATGGTATCATATAAATTAACATAAAATATTGTGCCTACATAAAAATTTAAAAGATCGCAACGTTTAGTAAAAATAGTTGAAATATCCCTCTTTTTCTGATCTTTTAAGGGTTTAAAATTAATAATCCATCTATTCCAAAAATAACTAATTTTGAAGAAATGCTTTTGATTGTAGTTGATGTTAAGATTTATTTACCAACTGTATTAGTTCGTTCTCACACTGCTGTAAAGAGCTACGTGAGGCCGGGTACAGTGGCTCGTCCCTGTAATCACAGCATTTTGGGAAGCCAAGGCAGGTGGATCACCTGAGGTTGGGAGTTTGAAACCAGCCTGACCAACATGGAGAAACCTTGTCTCTACTAAAAATACAAAATTAGGCTGGCATGGTGGTGCATGCCTGTAATCCCAGTTACTGGGGAGGCTGAAGCAGGAGAATTACTTGAATCTGGCAAGTGGAGGTTGCGGTAAGCCAAGAGAGCACCATTGCACTCCAGCCTGGGCAACAAGAGTGAAATTCCGTCCCCCCCAAAAAAGAACAACTACCTGAGACTGGGTAATTTATGAAGAAAAAAATGTGGTTTAATTGACTCAGAGTTCTTCAGGCTTAATGGGAAGCATGACTGAGAGGCCACAGGAAAGTCACAGTCACAGCAGAAGGTGAAGGGAACCAAGCACTTCTTACCATGATGAAGTGGTAGAAAGAGCAAGCCAAGGTTTAAGTGCTACACACTTTTGAACCATCAGATCTTATGAGAACTCACTCACTATAACAAGAACAGCAAGAGGAAAATTGGCCCCCATGATTCAGTCACTTCCACTAGGCTCCTCCTCCACACAAGATTTGGGTGGGGACACAAATCCAAATCATATCTCCAACATAAACAAATAATTAGAATGCAAAAAGCTTGTTGTGTTAAAGAAAGCATGAGCAAAATACATGGTTATAGGCGGAGAAGAAGCATGGAATTTTTAAATCATAAACCACACAAAACACATTAGTTCTGCTAAGATTAAATGCAGTGCTAGAGGAAGGAGAGCTTGTACAAAGAATTGCATCCCATGTTTGAGTGGTCTCAAGGTCTCTCTAAAACATCTCTAGTACTTTTCCTAGCACTCTCTTGACCTCATGCCTTCTCAAGCATATAAGTACACAGGCAAGCATTTCTCTTACTACCTGCAGGGGAAAATTACTGGGCATCTCAGATTATCCCTCATAAGCAGGAATTCCCAAACAGGATCCAAAGCCTGGACTGGAAATTCCCGAAAACAAGCTCTTGGGCTATAGTTCTGAATTGAATGGCAGGCCAAAATTCTCCCTGCTGCAGTTTGTTTCTCCAAATTAAAGTTATTATAAACTGCCAGGGGCCTCCAGTTAAGCACATGGTAACTTGGAAAATTGTCTGTACTGTATCTGTACTGATGTTCATGAATATTTGAACAAAAAGCAGGAAACAGTAAAGAAATCCATCCTAAGATCAGGCTAAATGTCCAACTGTACATTGTCAGTCTCAAGGTAGCATTTTGGCGTGAAACTCAATTTTCTCTTAGAATAATTTGCATTGGGATTATGGGCTAAATGTTCTCAAAGTGTCTAAGCTATAATTCTTTATGAGACTGCACTTTGGCATTTAACTACAGCATATGCAAGCCTAACTTACAGGCTCAGTCTTTACGTTGATCCAAATTCTCTACATGATGGCAGCCAACTTTTAATGAAAAGCATTACTTTATGACATGATTTACTTGCTCTCTGTGTTTCTTTTTCTTCTAGCGGGATTTTGCTTTACATTAAATATGAACTGAACTTTTGCTAAGACTTCTGCTGTCGATTAAAACCCTCTTGGTAAACCTTCAGTCTTCCAAAACCCCTAACCCTATGCAAGTATAAAACGATTATAAATCTCACTTGTTTGATGCTATAACAACTGTTTAGACTATACAGAATTACCTCTTGTTCATATGAAACATACATTGCAATGTGCATTCGTTTTGTGCCCCTTATAGTGAATCACACAATCTGAAACAAAGAATGGAGAAACAAGACAAAGAAAAAAAGCAAAGCAAAGAAAAAGAGAAATGCTAAAAAGAAAAATAATTAGATAAAGCTAGTGGAAGAATAGAGAAGAGTAAGGCTGCTAGAAAATGCAGAAGCTGCATTATCTGTATATAATGTGGCTGTAATACTATGGTGGTCAGCAACTGTAATGTAAAAGGTAATATGTAGGAGTTTTTATATGCTTTTCAGAACTATAAAGGGAGTGTGAGTGGATTTTAAACATTTTGATTAGCACCACAAAGATTTTAATGCTTTATTTAAACAGTTTGCTATAGGGCAAACACATTTGGTAGACAAGTAAAATGAAAGCATGGGCATCAGTTTCTCTGTTTTCTATTAAGTAATGTTGCGAAGTAAGCAGAAGTTGGATTCAGATATCAGATAATTATCTCCACACTGTGTGTCACAGTAAATAATTTTAATTGGTTTAACTTCAGGGACCATTACTGGCCTAATTAGAAACATGAAAAGGCTACAAGTATTAGGAAATATCCTGAAGGAATGAGAACATTAGCAATTCTGTCAAGCCATTTTTAAAATAAGTACACAGTAGCAGCCACATTTCAATGAAAGGCAGGATACTTGAAAGGTGCTTTTAGGAAAACAGTGCTTGTGAGCCTGTAATAAGAGAACTGTAATAGGAAGCAAAGAAATTGGGTAACAGGCTGACATGTGTGCTATTTCTGTATTAAAAACATACTAATCTTGTTCTGATTGCTGTTTTTAAAAGATGCAGGTTAATGTTTTCAAAGAAAAAAAATTATACCTGAGATTGGGTAAATCCTGATCAAGAATATGTTGACTTACTGAAAAGGAAAGGGATCTTTGAGTAAAATAACTTCACCTAAACACCTTCAGCATGCAGAGTAGTGTGCTGAGGAAAGGACTACACTGTTTGTTTATTATAATTTCTTCACCTTGGTTTTCCAAGATTCATGAGAAACAAATGGCTATTATTCTTTGAAGCATGCATATACACTATAGATACGGAATTGTATGTCATTGTTCGTATTTGGAAAATGGCTATACTCTGATTGAAACATCACTAAGTCAGAGATCAAGCCAAAAAACTATTCCCTCAGTATTTTCAAGCAATAAGAGCCCTAGTTCAGAGAGTAAAATGTTTACATCATAATAGATATCTAGAATGCCATACAATGTTTAAACTAACATATAATATCAACAGCTTCTAATCAATAGTTATGGAGCAAAATTTTGTTCTAATGTAATTTTTTTTGGTAATAGATTTCTGTTTTCTAAAATGGTTAATGGTAAGCTTTTTTGAGATAAGGAG